TGCAGCGTCCTTTCCGACGCAGCTGGGCCCAGGGGGCGCTGTGAACACCCCTGGAACGCCCAGGACGCTAACGTGTGTTGGGGTCACGATGGCGTTCACGTTGGTGCCCGCAACAGCGGCCATGAACGAGGCCATCACGTAGAAGAGGATCGCGATGAGAAGGAAGGCGGCCATGATGTAGGAGCAGCGAGTTCTCTGTTTGAAAATGGAGAAAGTTGGCCAGGCGTGACATTTTACAGTATTGGCTAACAGTGCAACGTAAAGTGCGTTGACGACTTGGAGTTTGTATGTGCAAGTAAGCTCATGTACTGTATATACCAGCAATGAATGCAGCTCGATGTAAAGCGACGGGGAACTGGGACGAGCTCTCGTGTCCATGTGATGTGCGTTGGAGACTTGTTGGTGGGCGGCTAGTGTGTTGTGTTTGGGCACAATGGGTTCTCGTTTTGCGCATAACGTTATGGATATGAACCACAGCTGTGTCAGAGTGTCTGTCGTACATCATGTTGACCGTTTCACAATCCAGCCAATTGAAGCACTGCAGATATTAGTAACCATGGTGCTTCAAGTATCCATCCACGTACGAATTTGATGTTCATGATCTACGCACATGTGCCTGACATTGAACCCCAAACTAATTCAAGCTACAAATCCACTCCACTAAACATGAAGAAACACATGAATCAAAAGCCCCTTAATCCATGCAGCAGCGCATTGACTTAGGACGACCATCGTCAATCATGCAGTACAGTGTCGTCTACTTCTCGCAAGAATGACCAATGCTTGACATGGCGCTGCTTTTTGATATTTTAGGACGGAACGAAAGAGTATCATAATATCACCACGTTGGAGAGGGTGGGAGAAATTGTGGCAATTCTATCGACTCTTCTAGGAGGCGCTATGAAGCGATATTGGCCACGAGAAGCAAAATTAGTTAGAAGTGCATGTACTTCTGTACAATTATTATGAAAATTAGATAATGGTTATTGGACAATGGGCGGAAGCTTGATTCAGCAATACCAAGTGAGTGAAGAAGGCTAAAACTGTCGATATCTGGAATGCACACTTGTGCATATGCATAGTTTTCCATACTTGAGGCGTCTCGTTACTATAAAATACTACCGTACGTCGTACAATGTGTGCTTTCGTACGTAGTCCAATTTGCTAGTGTATTGTGTCTAATTGTGTCTATGCCCACCCCGACAACAATAAACAATCGTCCATCCTTTCCAATAGCTTTAAAAGTACAATCATGATAGCTATGCCCAACTATGACCTGCTGTTAGCTTACATTCCCCTAAAGAGATCTTGGCCTCCTTCCTAACGACGTTCGAACGTGGACGTTGGTGTGTCCTCCACGCAACAACACAACTAAAGTGTACACAAAACAACGCGACTCAATTCAACATCGTACGTCACGGATGGTCGTGGCACGGAGAAAAGAGTCGCGTTGGAGTTGGCACGGGGAAGTTCAAGGCAGTCATCACGACCATCTTGAGTTGTCCGTGACGTCGCTGTCGACAGAGGATGACCTTCGGGGGCTGCTGGCGTTGGAAGACTCACTACCCCACCCCCTCTTGCCATGGCTGACGTTGCTTCCGATAGACGAAGATCGTCGGGGGCTGCTGGTGTTGGAAGACTCACTACCCCACCCCCTCTGGGCATTACTGACGTCGCTTCCGACAGACGAAGATCGTCGGGGGCTGCTGGTGTTGGAAGACTCACTACCCCACCCCCTCTGGCCATCGCTGCTGACGTCGCTGCCGACGGAGGATGACCTTCGCGGGCTGCTGGTGTTCGAAGACACACTACCCCACCCCCTTTGATCTTCAGAGCTGCCGACGGTTTCAACGGTGGCAACGTCGCTGCAGACTGACGACGATCGTCGGGGACTGCTGATGTTGGACGAAATGCTGCCACATCCCCGCTGATCTTCGTAGCTGCCGATGGCGTCAAGGCAGGGGATCTTTTCGCGAGGCGTTAGCACGAGGGCGTCGTTCCCCTCCCCGTCCCGAGCATCCCATTCTGTTATGCTGTCCATGGGGGCCATGCCATTGCGCCACGTGTTAGGGACGTCAAGCCACGGCACTGGGACATTGCCTGTGGGGGTTGCCGCCATGTGATACATGTCAGCAGCATGTCCATCCCCAGGGGGTGACGAAGTGGTTTGATTTTGACGCCACTTGGCAACGCCGCACCCCATCAGCCCCACACCACACACCACTACCCCCACAACCACCCACGACCAAATGGGCTTGGGACGAGCTTTTGTTGGGGATGGGATCACCGTGGAACGCAAGTACGTTGGACTTTTCGTTGTGCGGATCTCTTCAGTTGTTCGAAGAGGGGTCGTCGATGGAGGTGGCGATGTGACTCCAACACTCAAGGTCGTTCGTGGAGAGGTTGACTGCAACGGTGACGTCGTTGGTCCTTTGGTGGTCGGGGCAGCAGGTCTCGTCGTGTGGGGTGGCATTGAAGTGGTCGACATCGGCAAAGGTGGTCGAGTCGTTGCTGCGGCCATCGTGGGCGTCGCGCGTGGGGCTGCTGGCGACTTCACCGACACACAGCCCATGACAAGAGGGGTCGTGTTCGGGAGGGCCTGGCACGTCGAGCCGAACTCAAGACGTGGCTGGGGACCAGGACAAGCGCCCACGCCGGCGAGTGCAGCGTCCTTTCCGACGCAGCTGGGCCCAGGGGGCGCTGTGAACACCCCTGGAACGCCCAGGACGCTAACGTGTGTTGGGGTCACGATGGCGTTCACGTTGGTGCCCGCAACAGCGGCCATGAACGAGGCCATCACGTAGAAGAGGATCGCGATGAGAAGGAAGGCGGCCATGATGTAGGAGCAGCGAGTTCTCTGTTTGAAAATGGAGAAAGTTGGCCAGGCGTGACATTTTACAGTATTGGCTAACAGTGCAACGTAAAGTGTGTTGACGACTTGGAGTTTGTATGTGCAAGTAAGCACTTTTACATGCATGCAATCAGGGGGGCGGGAGAAGTGGGACGGACTTTCGTGTCCAATGTGTCATGTGTTGGAAGCTCCTTACGAAGCTGATTGTGTGTTGTGCTGGGGCACAATGGGTTCACGTATATGTATATGTGCGTGCGTGCTATTGGCGGCATCAGTCACATGGACCGTTTCATAATCCAGCCAATTAGATCATTGTAGTAGTTCTGTAGTAGTACTATATTTGGTTGGGAATATTACATTTAACGTCTGGACATTTGTCACTAGTATTACTAAATCATGCGTTAGTACTACTTTTTGCATGGGAGTCGACGGGTTTGATAGGTTGAAGAGAACAACAAGCAGACATGACCAAAGGCAAACCGTTTAGCGGCAAGCTCAAGAAGCAACAGGTGAGTCCATGGCACCGCCACAGCCTCTGGATTCCTCATGACATCATCAACCTACTCTAGCTCCAAGCGAAACGGGAGAAGAAGGCGCAAAAGGAGCTGCATGCAGAAGCCAAGTACAACGCCGAGCGCGACGCGCTTGCGGGCCTCGCGTCATCCGCGCCGCCACAACCCGTCGGGCCTCCACCGATCGAATACATGTCGACAGACGTGGGTTTTTCAGGGGATTTGCGGACGATCTTTGCAAAGGAGCCGCAGGCGGCGATTGACGCGCGCAAGAAGGACGCCACGCGCGCGTTGGCGGACGACCGCGGCAACTCGCAGTCGATTTATGCATATGGACTGACAGACGTGCGGAACCAGCCTCCGATTCCCCTCCGACCCCATTGGTCCAAGCACACGAGTCCGGACGAGTTGGCGATGGCCGAAGAAGACGCGTTCCGCGAGTGGCTTCTGCAGTTGCATCAGACGTGCGTCGAGCGGCGCCAACAAGCCGCCCCTACCGCCCCCTCTATATGCAGCATTCCAGACAGCGGCGTGAACGCATGGGAGATCAACTCGTACGAGCGAAACCTGCAAGTGTGGCGGCAACTGTGGCGCGTGATTGAGAAGGCCAACGTGCTCGTACACCTCGCCGACTCGCGCTGTCCGCTGCTGCATCTCAGCCACCGACTGATTCAGCACATTCAGGACGACCATCCGACCAAGCGCGTGCTAATCTTGCTCACTAAGTGCGACTTTGTGGCGCCAGAACGCGTGGACCTGTGGGTCAAGTACATCCGAGACCTGTACAACGTGCCCGTGCTCACGTACAGCCGGGATCGGGTGGACGAGAGCAACACCGTTTTGTTGACTACGATCGGACGGCTGAGTGAAGATACGAGCTACAAGAAAGGAAGAGACGAAGACTTGAACGCGGGCACGCTCATGGTCGGCCTCGTACGTCCATATGAACATGCACGGGAACGACTGTTGTGGTTATGTGAATGCCATTGTTTCATGGTGCAAGATGAAGTGGTCTTGAGAGAGAGGGGGGGTATGGATGATTGCTGCGGAAGCTGTGGTGTAGCGACCGTGACTGTGTGGCGGTGGCGGAGATATATATATTCCCACCCGGTTCTGTCGACGGCCTAATGTGTGCATATATATATATATATGCGACGACATTAAGCGCGTGTACTGTATTCTGCGATAGTGAATCTGGATGTACGTACTAGGTGGGGGAGCCAAACGTGGGCAAAAGCTCGTTTCTGAACGGCATGTTTGGCAAGAAACTCGTGTCCGTGTCGGCCACCCCCGGCCACACGAAGCACTTCCAGACGCACTTTTTCGATCGGCCAGAGATGTTAGGACGAGACGACATTTCAAAAGTGTGCTTTTGCGACTGCCCCGGCGTGGTGTTTCCGCGCTTTGGGATTCCCCTGGCGTTGCAGGTATGTAACTATATATATATATATATATATATATATATATATATACTATAGTAAATATGTATACTATAGCAAATATATATACTATACAATAGTAAATATATATACTATACTATAATAAATATATATATATACATGGTATATATGTTCTGCTGGTATATATATATATATATATATACATGGTATATATGTTCTGCTGGTATATATATATATATATATATACATGGTATATATGTACTGCTTGTATATATGTATATATATATATACATGGTATATATGTACTGCTTTTATATATGTATATATATATTATTTTTATATATATGAGATTTGTGGAATGTGTGGGTTGATTGTGTTATTTTTATCTGTTTTTGTTCGATGAACATTATTATATGATGGAGCGCACTTTGATGCATGGTTATTTTGACCAGATCTTGTTTGGGAGCTACCCGATCGCACAAACGCGGGAACCGTACTCGGCCATCCGATTCATTGCCGAGAATGCCACGCCCACGCTTCAGCATGTCTACAAGCTGCGCAAGGTCGACGAAGATGATGGTAATGGAGACGATGAACATGATGGAGGCGATGAATATGATGGATTGATGTAGACTGGTCGCCATTCACCGTGTCGGAAGCGTATGCGGCCCAGCGAGGGTTCCACTCCAAGGGCGGCAAGTTGGACGTGTTTCGCGCCGCCAACTTGTTGCTGCGAGACACGCTGAATGGGAAGAAGGTGATTTTGAGCTTTCCGCCGCCGCTGGAAGGTGCCGCGACGGTGGTGGGCAAAGGAGACGAGGAGCATGCTGACAAGGCGGAAGGGGGGGCGGTCATGACGACAGATCAAGTGGCGGCACTGCTAGGAGACATGGACATGCAGCAGGGTAAGCAGATCTATGAAATGACCGAGAAGTAGTAGTCTAACGGTAGACGCTAATGCGAAAAGTGTGCATTATGCTGAGTGTTGCAAGGGGGTGCGATGTCCATGACATGTAAAGTTCCGGTGGGGTTTATGTTCATGCTGGTTGTAGTTCTCATGCGTCGTGATGGCGACGTTAAGGGTGGAGGAAGAAATCTCTTCGATTGCAATGCCTCAATGCACGTCGCAACACGTACCATCGCCGCGTCTCCAGGAATAGCGCAGTTGCACGCTAATCCATCAACTTTGTACTGGGATCATTACCAGTGAACAATGACGCACTCATGCGATACGGGTACGGTATGGTTATCCCCGAAGTCTATGTCGAGTTAAGCTTGACAGCATTGGGCCCCTTCATGCGTTGAAGGGCGAAGCCGCCCTGCCGCCATCCTGTTGCGTATCCTGCGTATCCTTTGCACGAAGCTCGAAATCGTATGATACAGTATGATTGGCTAAAATAAACGAAATGATGTTCATTTTATCCAATCCGCTTGGCTTACTTGAAGGTGCATTCCAGGGAGGAGTGGTGGAAAATGGTCCAATCACGCCCCATTCCTGGGTTCATTTGGGGCAAGGAACATGGCGGAAGAAGGTCCGGGTGCTGGCGATGCCGCCGCCGCCGTGCACGGCCGAGTGACAGGATTGATCGTCCCACCACCAGAGATCCGCGCTGTGGTGGACAAGACGGCGCAGTTCGTGGCAAGGAATGGACGCAGCTTTGAGCGCAAGATCGCAGGCGAGGTCATCTCGGCCAAGTTTAGTTTCCTGCGGGCGTCCGACCCGTACAACGCGTACTACGAACATAAGGTGGCCGAGTTCGAAGCCCAGACTGCCGAGCCAGTAGCTCCAGCTCCTGCCAAGGACACGGAGGAAGGGGCGTCCCAAGGTGACACGAAGGACGCAGCATCAGTCGAGAAGGCTGCAGAGCCCGACGACACGACGACGACAACCGCCATCGAAGAAGGCGTCGTGGCCAAGAAGCCCGTGGAGGCCGTGGTGAGCAAGAGTTTGAAGAACCTCAAGGACAAGAACACCAACTTGGATGCGCCACCCGCCGACGAGCAGTTCAAGCAGAAACACCCGACGCTGACGCCTCTGGACCAGGAGATCATGTACATGACTGCGCAGTACACGGCCGTGAGCGGGAAGCCGTTCTTGTCTGGGCTGGCGACGCGGGAGCAGCGCAACCCTCAGTTTGACTTTCTCAAGCCGACGCATCCGTTGTTTGCGTACTTTACGTTCCTCGTGGAGAGTTATGCCAAGATTCTGACGGCCAAGGCACACCACGCGAAAAACAAAACAGGTCTTAACGTGTCCAACCCGTTGATGGATGCTCTCGAGGCGGGCGTCAATCGCATGCACGTGCTGGACCGATGTGTGCACAAACACGAGTGGATGCGGCGGGAAGAAGAGGCGCAGCGGCGCGAGGCCATGGAGACCGATGTGGATAAGATCGCGTATCTGCAGATCGACTGGCATGACTTTGTGGTGGTGGAAACCATCACGTTTGACGTGGACGACGCGACCGGCGCCGGCGATCCGTTGCCATACCTGGAAAACGATCCAGCATCTACTTCATCTCATCAAGCTGATGCGTTGAACCAAGACGATATGGACATGGACGTGGAGGACGAGGAGCGGCCGGCGGAACTCAAGGTTGTGGAAGACTATGTGCCCCGGGGGGCGGCCACCACGGCGCCGTCCGTACACATCACGTCTGTGGACGGCCAGACGATTCACTCGGAGCAAGCTAATGAACACATGCGCATCCTCCTGCAAGCGCCCAAGTACCGCGAAGAAAAGGCGCGCCACCTGCAGAAGGTGCAAGACACGCCATTCGCCCCAGGGTCTGCCATCGCCGACAACTTCAAGCGGTTCGCCACCAAGCGATCCGACATCTTCACGTCCTCCGCCGACGACGAGGCCAGGCTCGTGCATGCGACGCAGCACCCCGCGCCCCCCCCGCCGCCGCAGGACGACGACGACGGACAGCACCAGTACCTCCCCGTCCAAACGCAGGCCAGAGGCAATAATCCACCCCCTGTCGCATACCACATCCCCCCGTCTCAGAAACCCCCGCCGCCGCGTCTGCCGCCCCCCGCAGGCTTTGCGCCCCCGCCACCTCCACCGCCGCCACAGCCAGCACCAGCACAAGGTGTGGTGGCTCAGGCACCCCCGAGAGCGCATCCGCTGCTGCCGCCGCATTTGGGCGTGCCGATGCCGGTGGGGATGGCGGGCATGGGCATGCCGCTTGTGAGTGGGATGGTGATTCCGCTGCCGACAGCCGTCCCGCCGCCGCCGCCGTCCCAACCTGCCCCGACGGCGGACGGATCGACCTCCGAAACGCAACCGCCCGCCAAGCGGCAGCGTGTAGACGGAGTGATCTTGCTGCCAGAAGATGAATGGGCGGCCCAGCGACCGGTATGTTGTGCTTTGTGTGAAAAATATGGAGGATGATGGTGATGTTTGCCATGTACATATTGTCGTTGTACCCAAAATGTGGACTACTTTTGCGCTGAATCGTCAAATCGATCGATTCTTTGTAGTACTGAATGTTGTATGTACAAAGGTGGGTTGCTTGGAATAATCACACTAATTATTGCAACCACACACTAATTCGACGTTTCCTGCAACCATCTGATTGGCTCAATCCTTCTGCGTCGATGATTCTTGTGTACATTTACTTATTTGGTTGTGTGGATTCATTCAGTATTCTCCACGAGTCGCTCCAGTTTAGACACACACCACAATATGATGGGGCTTGTATCATTTCAGGGCCCAGTGCGACTATGTGTGACGGTGCCGTACGAGCCAGACAACTCGCAGTGGAAGCTGGCGGGGCAGACGCTCATTCTTGATGTGGATATCCTGACTCTGGTTCGAGATGTCAAGACCCGCGTGTATGAAGCCACAGGGATGCCCGTCGCCAAGCAGCAGATCAAGGCGCCTGTCGTCGGCTTTCTCAAAGACTCGCTCACGTGTGCACATTACAACTTTGACGACGACGTTGTGATGGAGCTCAGCGCGCGCCAGCGCGGGGGCCGCCGTTAACATGTACTAGTTACAGTACCTACTAGTGTACCGCCTAGTAAAGGTCACTCAATCTCGACTCTCGATGCTTCATATCGACGACACTAATCTAAACACGAAAACACCACACACTATTTACTGCTTGGTTGGCCGCCTCGTTCAAAGTAGTTATCTCTTTTGCGCGGTGTATGGTATCGACGTTAATAATATATTAACCCCTGTTGTTAACGTTAGTTGGAACTTATTACCTGTAAGATGTCGCTTTCACCCAAATTAGGACCTCAGGGTCAATTCGCAAATAGTAATACTAGTACAGTACTCTGTTCCGATTCATTTGTCAGGTACGACTTTGAATTGGTTCAATTGTTATTAATAGTAGTACTACTAACGTTAATACTCTGTTCCGAAACATTTGTCAGGTGCGCCTTTGAATTGGTTCAATTATTGTTGTAAATTTGATTACTTCATGGGGTGAGAGCTCCTCTTTGATCGCTGCTTCACAATTATTTTAGGGAGAGTAAACTATTCCTTGTTCCAGAGATATTCGTTTCCGCGTACGCCGCGTCGAGGTCTGAACCAAGCCAGCCACCCGCCAGACTATTAAAATGCGCCAGCTTTGCATACACTAAGCCTCCAATACTCTTATATACACTGCTTAACCGTCGAATACTCTTATATGTACAGCTAGCTAGGTGTTAGTAGTCTTGTGTCGTGGTGTCAAGTCAAAGCCCCTGTTGTCTCGTACAGGGCCATGTCAAGGTGCAACCCTCGCGGCCTGTACATCTACTACTTGTATATATCTATAAGTCATGTATTATTGTAGTCAATACCGCATCTCTCTCATAGAGCAGCCTCCATTCACCGAGTTCGGTGTGTATAAACCGTTAAGATTTAATATAATTATTATCTCGTAGGTATTTTGAAATATCACATACAAAGATCAAGTCAATATTACTAGTATGCCACACACCCAAATTGTGTCTAGTATATATACTATAAATACATAGTACCAGTATATAAGGTTACTGTACTCCACACGCCCCAAACGTCTGGCGTTGTTTCTGCATGATATCCACGGCGGCTGCTTTACCAACTGCATCGTGATCACGGCGACAAATATTGTCACCATCGTCTCTATTGGCCTAACGTTATCGCAGATAAGTATATCTGTCACCATCGTCTCTATTGGCCTAACGTTATCGCAGATAAGTATATCTGTCACCATCGTCTCTATTGGCCTAACGTTATCGCATTGATTGTCGTGCTGGTGTATCTTGTGCAGGCGGAACCAATATTATTATTATTCACGACTACACACACACCCCACGTGAAGTCTACAGCCTTGGCACAACCAAGCATTCAGGTTCAACAGTGTCACATGTCCTCAAGGTGGGTGCGATGCTGTCCATTCATTCAGATATATCGCTTAGGCCAGCACGGGTGGGAACATGCGTTGGTCGATGGCATCTTGCACGAGCGCCCGCACTTGATCCAGTTGCACCTGCCATCATACTATGAGAATGGGAATGTGTGTAAACAGATCTTACGGAAGGATACGTATACTCAAAGCCAGTGGTTTCGATCTTGGTCCCGTCCACGTACAAGTGGTTGTGGCCCAGTAGTTCCTTGTCCATGTACGGCGTCAGCGGCGTGTTGGTCACGCCGTGGGCCTAATATATTTCATTCGTATCAGCCTTTCGACAATATATATATATATCGCCAAATGGCCACGATAGAAGGGACGTACGTGGCACAGATCAGACCACGGCTTCATGTGCTTTTCATTGGCAGTGTCCACGACATCGTCCAGTCGCAACTAAAAATGTCGTAGTATTAGGTCGTACATGTCCAAATGGCCACGAAAACGACAACCAACGACCATTGGGTAGTTAATACCTTGGCCAGATTGGACACCAACACGCCCACAAACCCCGTCTCGACGCCGAACAAGGCCTCGACCAACTGGTTGATCGAGCGTTGACCTAATACATACATACTAGTATCTACTAGTTGTCGTATCTACTAGTACGTACTAGTATCCGACTTGTCGGCCAGGTTGTACACTTCGTGGGGGGCTCCAACTCGAGCCACATGCCACAGAGCCTTGCATACGTCCAGCACGTGCACCTAGTTACATCATCATCTCATCCTCGTTCCATATCCTTACAGTGTTGACACGCATTTCCCCATCCCACAGCAGCTTCATCTTCTCGCCCAGCGCAGAGTACGCGGCGGCGCACACCAGTCGCGGCATGAGACCGCCGACGTCCCCCGACCCATACACTGTCGCAGGTCGGACAAACACGACGTGGAGGTCGTCCAGAGCGCGCAACTCTTCCTCTGCCTGATCCAAGCATCATGTCAGAGGCCTTGAAGATGCATATATACTGTACAATATGTGATATGTATATATATATATACTATGTGATACATATATATATATATATACTCGAAGTATATGTTTTATATAAATATAAACTACGCTATATATAAATATATAATGTGTGATATATATAAATATATAATATTTGATATATATATATATATATATAATACAAAATATTATACTATGTGATATGTTTATATATATATATTATATACAATGCATGGAGTGACAAGAGATTGTTACAGATGGCGTCGTACCTGGAGCTTGTACTTGGCCTGGAGGGTCCACGGGTCCAGCTTGGCGCGCTCGTCGGCTGGCGATTTCGTTTGAGACTTGTATACGTAGGCGGTGGACACTTCCACAAAGGTCTTCACGTGCATGTCCCGGGCTTTCCTGGCTAAGGAATTGTAGGAACAAACACATGGCATGGAGGATGGAGAAGTACCGCATTTCACGGCCAAGTCGCGGCACTATGGAGGCATGCATGAGCAAGAGCGTGGGGGAGACAGAAGAGACGCAGATGGATGGGAGGTTATGGATGCCTAAGGGAGTGGGGCCGTTCTACCTTGGAGCTGTAGACGGACTCGGCTTGGCCGCACTTGGTTTCGCCCGCCAAGTTGAATACATAGTCGTAGGGCCCGGTGTCCGCTTTGAACGCGCGATCTACATGCGCATCCCGGGTCAAGTCGGCTTGCACGTACTCGACAATGTCGGAAGCAAACGCTGCCTTGTGCCGTTCACTGTCATGATGATGTCAACAACTCAATGCGGTAGGAAGACGCAGGATGACGCATGGAGGACTGTCGTCGTTCGTACCTAAAGTACGAGATCTCGGGCATGGACTTGTCCGCGACACGGATATAGCTGCAGAGGTCATTGTCCACACAGTATTTGACGAAGTTTCGCCCGATCATGCCCACGCCGCCAAGCACCAGGATGCGCGGCAAGCTTGTCGCCATGATGCGATCCAAGGGTGGCGTCAAAGTATGATATGAGAAGGCACAGTTTATGGTGATACCCCCCATTCCCTGAAAACATAGGGGGTCTAGAGAAAATGATACGTCCAAGTAACTGATAATTACTACTAACGTTAGTAGTAATTATTATATACTTCTAGTAATTAATAGTACGTACTCATGGATAAGAATAACTACACTACGGTAATCCAATCTTGGATTTTGAATCTTACTGTTAAGTCCAGGAGTACAGTAGAAAGTACAGTAGTATGATTTTTTTGTAACGTAAAATGCCACTTTAAGACGTATATGTATTTAAGATGTATGACAACGAACCAATCATGGAGCGTTCTTAAGTGAATGCACCAATCAGAGAGGAAGCCTCTATTTATTGATACATTGTAGTACTGTATACAAAAACGAGTATTAAAGCATACGTCTTAAATAAGCACACTATTTTATAGAGGTTTCGTGTTTTTGATGACTTGACATTTGTGTTCAAATGCCTGCAATTCAACTCATGTTGATAATAACGTTAGGCATATTTTCCTGAAAGTACTGTCCATTTTCGGAATTGGCGAAAAAAGTGGTAAAAACTGATACTACGTACTTAAGTACTAACTACGTAGTACAAGTATACAAGTAAGAAAAGTAAGTACATATGGTCATCGATTTAATTATAAGTTGAGGACATTTGAGCAAGCCAAAAACCTGACGATGATGATGTGATTCACATCATCACCTTCACATCATGTGAAGGTCGCGGACATGAAACAGCTCTCCAGATGGTTCCACCACATCATTCCAAAGCCCAGTAGACCACGATCAAGTTGGGCAAGCGCATGCGATACCTGGCGTCGCCCGAGTGGAAGGCGGGTATGTCGACTATAAACCGCCACTGGTCAAGACCATGACAAATAGTCCGCGCCAAATCTCTCATCGTCACGAGTTCGATCCCGCCGTACTCACGGAACGCTACGACGAGCGTTACGTGCGAGTGCGACCCCTTGCTCTATCTCCACAACACGCGCATCGTGCGTTGCTTGATGACCCCTAAGCAACGGTGGATGAGTTTGTCTGCAAGATGTTCGACAGATCGTACCGCTTTTGACGATATTTCCAAGCAATAACACACGTTCTTGGGTCTGGTGTGCCCGTTTGACCTGCATGTCCTCGACGTCCTTCCTGGCTTTCGCTTTGAGATCGTTGATTGTGTGCTTGGGTCGCTTGAGTTCTTGGGTTTCCCATCGAAGCAGGTCGGCCGCCATCGGCCATGCGTTCCACCCCCTTTTGCCCTTCTCGCAGCTTTCTGTGCAGATCCACCATCGTCACTTGGAACTTCTTGGCATCGTACTCGTTCTTCTGGACACGATCCAATAGGTACTGACTGGCTTGCTGCAATTCGTGAAACTTGTCCGATGAACCGAAGCACAACTACGACAAATATGATGTTAGTCATTTGGCACGACGACTACGACAACCAAGGAGGAACCCACGCCTGTCTTAACGATCGGCTCAATGCCAGCCACCCTTCCATTGGTGGCCATCCTTGGTGCTACAGCTACCTCATCCAAGAGGGTGTGTGCTACTTGACCCTTTAATAGGGACAAACCGATTATGTTGGGCTGAAATCCTCAGACCGCAATTTACGAACCCATTTGACAATACAACTTTAATAGCATTACGTAGTCTTTATCTGGACGATTCCAGTGTACATGACCAAGTGTGCGACAAGAGTTGCTGTATCACAGGTAGTCTGACGACATTCGAAACCAACGTGTTTCGAGTGACTTTCAGATCCTACGAATGGCTACTTACTACCAACTGCTTTGAGGACGGTCATGCGACAGCGTTTGCTGGAGGTTCAGGCGACGGATTGGACACCGTGCAGCGCTTTGATGGCCTTGGCCACGTCACGCAGCACACGGGACTGCATGCATACTTCCTTGTCTGTGGTCGCCTGTTCCAAGGCAGCCGTGGCCGCCGCCAGTTTCTATGACCAATCATCAAACACCGAAGATGAAAGGTACACTGAAGGAGGTTGTGGTTTACATGGTAGAGGGCACGCAGCGCATAGTTGGCGGCGGCGGAGGTCGATGTGACGTCAACGGGGGTGGTGGTAGTAGCCAAGTCGGCGGAATTTCGTAGCTCGGCCTTCGCTTGTGAAGCGGCCACTGCTACCGTTGGGGATGAGAGGCTGGTTGCGGTGATAGAGCTGATCATCCAAGGAGGATGGGTGGTGGTGGAAGTGTCTACCAGGCTGGACTGCTGCGGCGGCTACGAACGACGTGCCTGGTTGGGTGGTCATGATGGTGGTGATGGAGGACTCGTCGTGGGAGGGTTGGTCGATGTCGATGTCGGCGGCATGTTGCTCTGCCGCTTGCTCTTCGGTGATGGCATACTGGTTGCATGTGACACAAAAAAGCTAAAGCGATCGAGTTAGACATAACAAGTCCCCCTTGGATGGCAGTCTTTCGACGACGTACTTGACCAGTGTCACGATTTCGCACAAATGGAGTGCCGCAATCTGGCCTTGGGCAGACTGAACCCATCAACGTCCAACCCTAATGCCACGTCATCATGAAGGAGTCGGAAGGATGGCTGAGGACGATGAGATTGCACACTGAGTATGAGCGTACCTGCAACATTTTCTCCCCAAGTTTGCTGCTGGTGGCATCGCGACGCTTCTTGCGCGCTGCATATACGGCGGCCTGATCCTCTTGCGGTGTCTGGTCGGCCACGAATGATGCTGCTGGTGGCGGCGGTGGAGGGTGAGGAGTTGCTATTGCGAAATGTGGACGAGTGAGCGACGGGAGTTGGGACGACGATAGAAAAGGACCTTGAGGTGCGCTCGAAGTTGGCGTCGCAGCGCTCGTTTCTGCAGGCTCTTCGGTGGAATACCACTTGTCGCACTTGACACACAACAGTTTGGTCTTGTCCTTTCGGGAACACATCAGTGGTGTGCAGCAGTCCAGTTCTGGGCAGTTGGTAGCGAGGAGCGTCCATCCAGCCAACATCTTCTCTGCCAGGCGGTTGCTCGTCGTGTCGTCGCTCTATCGCGCTGGCATTAGACAAGGCCACGTCACATCAAGCTGTTCAGCTGTACCATCTTGGTTGTGCTTGGTGCAAACTCTCACTGGTGGCATGTTTGCAGTTAGTTATCCGGATGCTTCCGTTGTTATCCGTATATCCCCGTTGAGGAGACGTTATCAGGAAAATGCAATTGTCATTAGATTATTAGCAACATAATTTGGGCTTGGGAGCGCAAAGTTTCTTGACCCCTCGCAGGACAAGGTCGCTGGCCTTGAGAAACACGACGCTAGACACGACAAGGAAGGCAAAGTTGACCCAGAAACGAGCGCGGTCTTCGCCGCTGAGCTCCTTGGTGCCGCCAAAAAAGCCCATGGCGACGGCGGGGTTCATTTCCGGGAGCAGCACGAGCCATACAAATGCCATCACGTGAAGCACAACTCGGATGAGGATGTGGTCGAAGCCGTAGAAGAACGCGGTGACAATAGCTGTTTGCTGCAGGCGGGACGACACCGTCTAGACACAAAGAGAAGCATGAGAGGACAGTAAGGTTGGGATCAGAGAGAGATGGAAGGAACTACTGTACCTCGTTCATGGCAAAGTAGAGTTTCTCGACCACGAGCTCCATGTACTGACGATCCTTTGGAGGAGACGTGGCAATTGCGTGGTGGAATTCATTGATGATGTAAGACGACCCAAAGTACATGCCGAGGTAAACGACCCATGCAACCGAGAAGCTTGCCTTGCCCTGGAGGACCTTGATGGCCGTCGTGGCCATGCACACGCTCGTGTTGGTGTACTTGTCCAGGAGGTAGGCAAACATAAGGGCCAGTGGCGCGCAAACGAAACTCATATACTTTCCTTTGGGGAACGGGAAAAAGCAAATCGTCACGGTGGCCGTCACCCCGAAGAGTGCTCCAAGGAGAAATCGAATCGTCGGGAGAACGAACAGCGACTTGAACGCGCGCTTGACCCATGCTGACAAAGATGATCCTTCCTTCGACGCTAACAAGTCCTTAGACACTGACGCAGGGATGGCGGTATTGTGGAGGGGCGGCAGTGTGCTGGACATGGCGACTGGACAATGATAATGGAGAGATTTCGAAAAGCTCTACCGTTATTGCAAGATCTTCCATCGATTGGCCAATCGTCGCTTATCCGGATAACCTTGGAATGAAATCCGGAAAATGAGGAAAGACTCGCGACCTTTCGTCACTTTTGGTTTCTTGAGGGAGCATGCGGTACCTCATTGTAGCCACGGCGATTGCTGCGGCGGCTGCGCAGACGACCAATGTAGAATCCACATACGTGGAGCAAGTGCTGAATGCGCGTGGCGGCGGTGCCATCAAGTATGCGGGCGGCAACCTCAACATCGACTCCCTCTTGCAGTCGTACCCTGAGTGCCAATCATGCAGCGTCAGCACTCCATGTGCCCATCGCAACCTCCTCGGCACGGGCACATGCATCGGATCGTCGTCTCGTCAAGTGGACGGCGTGAAAACGAGCTACTGCCTCGACTTTGACGTGTGTTGCGGTGGGAACTGTCGCAACAGCCGCCGTCCTACCAAGAAGTGCTCGTTCCAGGGCAACGAAATCAAAACGTCGTTGGGGAACGCCAACTTCAACAGCGCCAGAAGCATGCTCGCGTACATTCAAGTGGACTTGTTGGACACTATACCAATTGCGCAAGTGTCCAATCTCATCACGTCCGTCGCCGACGAAAGCACCCTGTCCGCTCGATGCTCGAGCAGCTGCAACGGGTGGAGCTGGCAAGGCCAGCTGTTGTCAGGATCCTGCCCGAGTTCGTGTGCGTGTGACCTTCTGGTGTGTTGAGCTGTTTTTATGAGATAGTTGTCTGACCAAAGTCTTCGTAGCCATTGCCTACGTTTGTAGCTGGCAATCTCTTCGAATGCGAACTCAAAGTGCCCAACGCCGACAGCTTTTTCTCGTCTGGTGACAAAAAGTTGACCCAAGACGCCAACCTTGGAGCCATCCAAGGCAAAGTCGTGTGCCCCAAAGGCTATACGTGCAGCAAACCAGACACTTGTGTGTCGTATGAGACATTTGAAACAGTGAAAGCGTCGACAGTGGTCCCAACCGTGGCTCCCGCCATAATCAACGCGCCCAGTGGGGCTGCCACGTCATCAAATTCCAAGTCCGGTTCTGTGGTGGCCATCGCTGTGGGGGCCAGTGTGGTGGGGCTCCTCGCCATTGGCGGCGCAGTCTTCTGCTTTATGCGCAAGAAGAAGTCGACTGATGATGACTACCATGCTATGTCTGAAGGAACGTTGTAAAATGTGAATGTGGAAACACTGGCAAGTCAAAACGCCAATCTCTCGTTGAGACATCAATCGAGCTAATTTCCGTAATACATGTATGAAACGCATAACTTCTTCATCGCATGTGTGGGACCTTGTCAAATGATGTATTGGACACGCCTTCATCAAGTGTTTCGGCAATGGCTTATATACTAACTAACGTTTCCAACATTTAGCAATTTTCACAGCAACGACACCAATGTCCACCACCCACTTACTTCGAGTAAACCTTCTGTACATGAATACATCAAAGTGCATATTGAAAGCACGTCGCTTCTTAACGTTATACTTCGAGTATACCGTTATACTTCGAAGCAGTGGGGTATGTTTTCAGTGGTTCACTATAAATATGAATTCGTTGGCAATCTCCGTGGAGAACTCTGGAGTACTTATATTCATGGTGATTCGAAACTGCAGAATCGAATGATCGAATCGATTAAAGAAACGCCTGAGCCAATCAAATCACGTCATGTCGAATTTATGCCAATCCAAACGTTTGCCCCTCTGCATTGGGGCAAAACCCCATATATACTAATCGTTGTATATTATAGTGTGTACAAGGTTAACAAATAAATAGGATCAAATCGATTCAAAAACTATTTGGTGAAATGACTCTCAAGTCCAAATTTGGGTTAACTGTAAATGCACAATAACGTTACACGATAAGGTCCGATATAGCTGGTATTATTATAGAATAAGTACATACACTAACGTTACGAGCACTTCGTAGCAGTACTCGTAGTCCTAGGAGTACTTCTAGTGACACTGTTAGTTCTGAAATACTAGGTCACTGCATACAGGCCTCGTCCGGGAGCTGGATAGCCTACGGCCTACCTGCCGCTACCCGACAAGACGAAAATACATACTAGTATCATTCGGTGAAGTGAGAAGCTTAGATCCGCGTTCTCGTGCGGCCGCGCTTGCGCAGACGGCCCCCCGGGCGCTCGGGGCCAACGTAAGGCTTGGTCACTGCTTTAGGTTTCATCCCACCACTACATTCAATTTCATCCAAATGTCATCCACGCTATAATTCAACAATTATATTAACTGTAAGGGCGTGTCTGGATGCCATTAAAAATGGTATAATTTGGCCGTTTTTCCAAGAAAAGTTGCCAAAATCGAAGAAACAAATCGGTTCAACATTTTATGGAGGTTCGTGTACAGGTTGACTGTGAAGTCTTGCACTTCAATCAGAAGTCGAATGATTCTTGCTGGCATCCAAACAACTTCGTGGATACTTCATTTCTTCTTTTTTCATGGGATATGAGACTTTGGGAACGGTTTATGGCATTAGGGTGCGTCTGGTAACATTTCAAAAATAATACTACGTAGTACTATTAATAGTATTCCATTTTCTCGCAAAATGGGATTAACCAAAATGCCATTTTCAAAATGAAGGTAAAAGGTCCATTTCGTAATAAGGTGTTTTGGATCTCTGCAACGAGTAAATCCCACGTGGAATTGTGGGATTTGGGTTAAAACTCTTCAAGCAAGACATGTTTCACTGTCAATTTTGATCAGATTTGTTGAATTCGGCCCCAAAATGGCGTTTTGGGCCTGAATATTGCAATATTTCCGGTTACCAGACGCACCCTAAACTGTTTTGGCGAATCTGCAAAATTTTCCCAAAGTCTCATTTTCCATGAAAAAGGGAGAATTGAAGTATCCACGAATTTGTTTGGATGCCAGTTGAATTTTGGAAAATTTGTTCGACTTCAGATTGTGAAGTACTATCCTTCTGTCAACGTGAACACAAACTTCCATAAAATGTTGGACCGATTTGAATTTGATGCCATTAAATATGGCATAATTTTTTATCTTTGGTGGCATCCAGAAAAATGGAATAATATTTCGATTTTGTGACGAATTCTCGAAAAATGGAATAATATTTCGATTTTGGCAAAATTACCTCTTTGGGTTCTCCCATGTTGGCATACAGTATTCTTATCCGGATAATCAATCGTAGAAGTTCGGATTGGATCACGACATGGCGAGTGCCGCAGGAATCGAGATGCAAGAACTCCGAAAGGGCGGCGATCCCGACCGCACGAGTAGCACCACCACCGTCGATGAGGAAGAAGGCCTCGTGTCGTCCGCTGTTCACATGAACGACGAGGAGTATGCCACTCCCACCGACCCTTGCCGATGTTTCTGTACGTGACTGACTGCTCGCATGCTTTACCACAACTCATGTTCATGTTCGTAGGTTGCTTTGGCTTTCGCAAGATTGGGTACACTTACTTGATTCCGTTCTAGCTGGAGCGCCTGCTTCATGCGCATGTTGTCCATTAGGCAGAGCTACGTTGTGCGCGAACGAGCCCCGTTCATCCTCGTGGGACCACACTGGATCGGTGTGCTCGTGACGCTATCTCTCATCGTGGTGTCCACCGTGCTGTTCATCGGCCAGCAGTACGCTGTTCTTCACTTCCTATCCCATGTTGCATATTCACACGACGTGGCTAGATGCCGCGGACTCGATGCTTGGTACACGTGTCTGTCCGTGTTTATGTGCATCGCCACGACGTACTTCCTCTTCAAGACAACCTGCACGGACCCAGGCATTGTACCCCGGGGCACGCTGCACACAGACCCAGCCCTCATCTCTCGATGCAGTTACTGCGGTGTGGACTTGAGACCATTGTCGACAACTAGGATGATTCAACTCCGAACTATAGACATTTGCGATGTCCACCAGAGTCGCCACACAGAGCACTGCGACGACTGCGGCGTGTGCATTGAGAAATATGGTACCCCCATATATACTACGATCACACGGAAGGGAATCTTACTAGTAATACTAGACCACCATTGCCCATGGATGGGCAAATGCATCGGGAAGGCCAACATGAAGTGGTTCCAGCTGTTCAATCTGGCGTGGGTGCTCTACTTGGTCTTTGTGCTCGTCGTGACCATGCAAAACGCCAGCGCGCACGCTGATTTGCTCGTCAAAGCTGGCAATCACTTTATCAACCACGTCCAAGGCTCCAGTCGATAAGCTACTACTACTAGTAGTACTAGTACTACTCATACTTCGAAGTATTTCGTTCTCCACCTCGGAAGGGTTTAGTATGATTGTGGCGTGATTTGTATTTCACGTACTAGTACGTACAACTACTATTAATAGTACTATTCCATACTAGTACTAGTACGTACTACTAGTACTCCTCCATTCTAGTACAAGTCATTTCCGTAGAGTTCACATGTCGATATGCACGTTCTTACCGTTATGAAGAAGTTCTAGATTACAACGTAGTACTAGACGACTGTGGTTCCTGTGAGCACCAGTCCAGTAGCGACGATGCCAGTAGCCACTCCAAACACTCCGATGACGACGGCAATACCTCGTCGCAGGGCCGAGTCGTGGGGGCAGAGGCGGAGGTAGCACAGCACAGGGAACACGTAGCAGATGAGCGTCACGCAGCTAGCGCCAGTCAACGAGAACGTGATTTGGATGCCAGGCATGGCGGTCGCGACGGCCACGACCACGAGCAGCAGCACCTACACTAGGCCATCCGTCACCAATTCTAAACCAAAGCAGCATGCGACAACGTACAAGGGACTCTGCAGCTTGGATAGACCGCGGCAAGGTCTTGGACTCAGAGCCCACCAATTGCAGCGCAAACGACTCCACGAGCATCCTGAACGGATGAAAGAGCAGGGGAAATGAAAACAGGATGGTCACGAGCACCGCCAGCCGCGGCACGTCCATCACTCGGTCATGTTCCAAGTTGAGTAAGATGTTGCCTTGGACGTGATTGCCGTACAACGCCATCGCATGCGTGCCTACATCAGCATACGTATCATGAATATATATATATATATCCACATTGTCACACATAGACATGTCGACGATTATACTTACCAAACACTGCATACATGCCAATGCAAAACAGCGACATGGTGTAGATCACAACGCGCATCCACATAAGGCCTGGTGGTCCCGTCTTCGCTTTCGACGGCAACGGGCCAAGCACGAAAAGAAGCTGTGACGGTGTCGCATGCTGGAGGGTCGCAAACAGCGGAATCACGTTCAAGTGACTGACAAACGCATAGTTAAACACAGACACGATGTGCGCGACCTTGAGCGGCAGGTTATCAAAGGAAGGAGGTCGTACGACAGTTGAGTCATTGTTGTTGGCAGCTGAAGAAGCCCGAGAGGAGGCGGAGAAGGACGATGCGCGACACGTCACGGCGACCACCAAGTACATGGATGCTACAAATCCAACGTAGCTCGAGAAGCGAAGCGCTGTGATCTTCTTGAGAAGGGTCAGTGGGTAGATTCCTGCGATAAAGAGCGGCAGCACGATGGATGTGGGGTGGTATGACGTGTTGTCGAGGCCGACTAGGTGGACCAGAAAAGGACTCAAGTCGGCGACAATCTCAATGCACCCGACGCACGCGCCCAAGATGGCAAAGATCGTGGTCGCAGACACGACCTTGGAGAAGACAGAGCCAAAGGCGACTTCGGCGAGGCCGTTGAATCTACGGAAGGATGATGAGAGGTGGTGTGATGGGAAACGACGTGCGTACGTGAAAACGTTCGTGGCGATGTGGACTCGAACGAGCAGCTCGGCTGTGTACCCCATGGCGAGACCCACGAGAACGAGGCACGTCACCACGACACTCACGGGGGCACACGTGAACGTGAATGGAATGCTCAACAGCCCCGCGCCAACCACCGACATGAACAGCGTCATGAACGTCATGAGGACGGCAATGGGCACAGAAGATGCGGCTGTGGATGAAATGCCACGATGCGATGGAGACAGGCTGTGTTGATGCCTCGGAGAGTGGAGATGAATCGACGTGATGATCGGTACCCCACGCTCGCACTCGCAATCGCATTCGCAGTTGCACAAGGTGCTCTGCTGGGACGGTGGAGGAACAAGGATCTTGATGCTGCTTTGCTTGGCTTGATGCAACGCATCATACGATCCTCGTTGTTCGGTCGTCGGCGGTGGCAGAAGGCTGCGACGTTCGCCCTCCGTCGTTGCCATTGAGGTGTATTCTGTTGTTGTGGTCAAAGGACGCGCAATGCACTACAATCTTATCCGGACATTGAACCGAATTAGCCGGATAAAACGGCCATAAGAAAATTACAGCGCACTGGTCACTGGTGTGAAATGCCATCATGCCAGTTAGATGCAAAGGGGAACAAGCGAGATACACCCATGAAGCTGCATAGCTTGCAATGGCGAATGAGGTGACTGTTTACACGTCTTCAACGCTGCCCATAGCTTAACAGTGCTCTATATCCAATGAGGTTGTGCGTAGTACCGTACGTTTGGGCGAACCGTCTCCCAAATTTCATAGCTTCTTCACACCACGAATGACACTGTTCCATGCCAATATCGTGAAGGGCTACAAGCAGCTACGACCAATTTGAGCATGCACAGCCGTCGATGGATGCTCCTGAGCGCTCCATGTCACGGCTGTCACGCTCAAGCGCTTGGTTGGACCTCTCATGTGTGTAGACTACCCCGCAATCGCAACATCAAGCCGGCGCCAACGTGCACCGAGATATCTTTGTGATACACTGGTGGAGTACTAGTAATAAAATACTATATTCAATGTCACATTAGATAGACTTGCTTTTCGTATCGTTCCTCCAACTGTGGTTATTTAATTATCCCATTGCCTGTTGCTGGGTTGTTGTTCCAACGCTCGCAGCGACATCGGAGCGTCGACACAGCAGCTTCCGCCAGCATGGGATGTGGGTTCTCTCGAGTGTGTGGATCGATTCTTTTCCATGAAGACGACACAGGTACGCGTACATGCCTCTGTGGCGCTCGTCACGGGGCATCCTACCGGTAGACGACCTTGGCAAGACCACGTCGCCGATTCGGGAACGAAGGCGGACGTTCTTCCGTAGCAACAGCTTCAAGTCGGGTGTGTTGATCAAACCGTCGACGGGGTCGTGCGAGGTTCCGTTGCATCGTCAAGAAGTCGACGTGGATGATTCGGACGATGGCGAACCAGTCGTGGTCGTCGATGACGTCGACGACAGGAGTGTGAGGGAACCGCATGTGTACGTCGGCGGCGGGATTCCCGGTGTGGCCGTGGACGAATTCACCATCGAACAGCCCAAGTACACGGGTCATGTCGTCGGAGGATGTCACGTACGCCTTCTTCTTTCTATCTCCTCCATCACCTTCTTCGCCATTGTTCATAGTCCGTGTCTCGGTCCATTTGGTGGGGCGCGCGCACGCGCGCCGGCAACGACTCGATGGGTCGACGCAAGGAGAACCAGGACTCGTTCTGCATTCGCGACCGCTTTGCCAATGTACGTCCATCCGCTCGTGTTTCATCTTCGTCTTCACGATATTGTGTCCTACGTAGTGCGACGGACTTACGTTTATGTGCGTGTTGGACGGTCATGGGGCCCAAGGAGCATATGTGAGTCACTTTGTTCGAGACCACTATCACGTGCATGTGGCCGCAGCCCTCCGACGACACATTCCGTCGCTGCCGCCGCCTCCATCTTCGTCGCCTGGCGATGATGTCCATCACCCAGAGAGCGTTGACTTTAACATGTTCACGCTGGACACGATCGAAGACGTGTTTCTTGATGCATCCTGCCGCATGACTGCTGCCCTCAAAGATGAAATGCATTTGGACATTAGCGTCAGCGGTACCACCGCCATCGCGCTCCTCTTCGTCACCTCTGGGCATGCCCAACCCAAGGTGTTCGTCGCGAACGTCGGGGATAGTCGCGCCGTGGCTGGCGTCGTTGCTTCGAGTTGTTCAGCAAGCAATAGCTCTCCAACGACCTTCAGCACTGTGCACTTGTCGACAGATCACAAACCCAGTACGTCGACTGTCTCTACATGTTTGTGATCGGTTGCAGTTCATTTTCACTGCATTATTCGGACCCATATTGAACTTAATAAGATGGTCGAATACCAGTATGTACACGATTGTGAATTCGCTAGTAACTTGCAAACTTCGCGGGGTTTTGTCTAATCCAAATGGAATCGAGCTTGAGTGTTTGATTGGTTGAATTAGTCGAGATACTCTAAAGTCGTAAGAAGTCGAATGTCCTTACTGTAAGAGCCAATCCAATCCACTCAAAATTGAATTAGCCAATCGCGGCGATTCGTGATTCGACGGGGTCTGGAAATTTGTACCGAATCCACAACACACACTATATAGTATTTGATTATTTTCCATTGAACTGCTTCCTATATTGTGCTTTCGAGTGAAATGTCGTTGTGGCGTGGTTTCTCGTTGGAATTTAAATCGATTTTTTGATTGGCTACCTCAGATGAGCTCAACATTATTAGCCAATCAAAACCCATTTCTCAATGAAATTCAACCAATCAGATCGATTGTGGATCGGTTTTGTCGATTGCACCCCGCCTCCCCAAATTTGTATCAAATCGACAATATGTTGATTGTCCTTTTACCCAAAATTTGGGCTTTTGTCTAATCTACTATCGATCGATTCATTGTACTGAATTTTGTTGTATATAAAGAGGTGTCCTGTGGGGATTGGTATCACACTAATTGAAGTTGATGATGGTTGTTTCCTGCAATCTGATTGGCTAAATATATCCTTCTGCCGATGATTTGGTTGTGTCGATTCATTATTCTGTTTACAGTTAGAATATAAACACATAAACAATACTAACTTACGGTATAGTACTACTTGTAGTATACTTGTGGCTATACAAATTACTGTAGTCACTCTCTATGTGCTTGAACTTCATGACCTTGTGAGTCATAACGTCATCATGCATGTATGTAGATGACCCACACGAGGAAGCGCGCATCGTGGCCGCCAACGGCCGCGTGTTCGAGTACGGCGTGCCGCGCGTATGGCTGCAGGACGTGGACATGCCCGGCCTCGCCATGAGCCGGTCGTTCGGGGACTCGGTCGCCACATCCGTCGGCGTGATTTCCGACCCGCAGTGCTCGGAGCTGTTGCTGACCCCGGGGTCATTTGTGATCGCCGCGTCCGACGGTTTGTGGGAGTTTTCGCCGTCGACGGACGTCGTGGCCATGTGTGCCAAGGGGGTACCCTATGAGGATCCACAGACGACATGCGATTTGCTCGTGGCAGAAGCGCTGGAGCGGTGGCTGGACGAACAAGATGTCGTGGATGACATCACGGTCGTGGTCGTGGTCGTACGAGGTGACGACGACCGAAGACAAGAGGAACAGTTATGATAGTTATTATGAAAATACTAAACTAATAGTTTCGAACGTGGGGATGGAAAGGGGCATGGAATAGATGAAGGACGTTGCTGGAATAATACATGAAAGAGGTTGCTGGAATACTTCGAAGTAATAGATGAAGGACGTTGCTGGAATAATAGATGAAATAGATGAAGCGGTGATGGAAAGTAGATGAAGGATGGCGATGCAAAAGGGGCGATGGAATAGATGATGGGGGTTGATGGAATAGATGAAGGACGTCGCTGGAATAATAGATGAAGGACGTTGCTGGAATAATAGATGAAGGACTAGGCGGGTGGCTCGTCGTCGGAGGTGGCAACGGAGTGGACAGACGACGGTGCAAGATTGATGGAGGTGGACGAGCATCGGTCCAAGTCTTCGGTGGTTGCTAATGGATAGGAGAGAGAGCGTGAGTTGGAGAATGGGGAAGGATGTACCAGGCAGCATGGAAGGATACAGTAACTCTGTACATCTGCAGTGGTTCCATCGATGATACCTTGGCTGATCGTGTCGTCTGTGTGGGTGGCAGCAGGTGCGGGGATCTGGTCGACCCACCACCGACTGGTATTAGTCTACCAACGGTATGCCATCAACCCACGAAAACACGACTGAGGATGTAGATGCAGGTAGTACTATGTACTTTGGGATCGTAGAGGTAAAACCACTGGTCGGACGGGTCCCACAGCAGCACTTCGTTGTGATACACTACAGAACGTCATGAGTTCAAGCCACACCGATCGACATGATGGACATGAGCTACGCACGGATGGACGGCGGAGGGGTCCACTCGGCTCGACCAGTGTCAAAATCAAAGTAGTAGACGTCGGTGTCCTCGTACGCCAAGCCCCAGTACTCGATGACAGGCGATGCTGCTTCTGTCGACTGTTCGTCGTGGAAGATGTCGTCGTCGAGAGCGGTCGTGTCCCAGAAATGCTCGCCTTCAAACACATATGGTTCAAGGATGCCCATAGAGGATGTCATGATGACGGAGGATGGGGTTGGCGGAGGAAGGAGCAGCATTGCTTCAATCATGCCGTCGTCACCGCGAGCATATGTGTATTCGCATGTCTTGACTTCATCCATTTTCAATCCGCCAGGGTCGTGGATGTCGCTACGGACAAGCATGTCGGCGACAGCCACGGCAGTTTCAAGTGAAACCGGCGACGCCAGGTTCTGCCATCAACGTGTTTGCGCAGTCGAGAGATTCATGACCTAGGTACACCTCTGTCGTGTGGCATGTGCCTTCACCCAATGAGTTGGCTGACGTGGCAAAATGATGGGAGGCACAGATCTCTCGTCACGTGGCGAGTGTTGGCATATGTCCGAATTCACGTGAGTGATAAAACAAATAAAACGTATAAAACGTCTACGTTAAACAAACTGGTCTGGAAGTCAATCAGCAACGTCACCAAAGACACATCTGCTCGTTTTGGACAAGATACCGTCGACAATTTGTACGGAAAGAACGCTACAGTATTGTCGTGAATGAAAATAGTTGGTACTATAGATATATGCACGAGGTCACTTTTAGTTTAAGGTGGTTTGGAGATTCCCCACGTAACGATACAGTAGTATCTATACAGTATGGTGGCAGTCTCTTGCTCAGAATGTCTAAACACGCGTTTTATAGGTTTTACCTACGGATCTTCAAAGGGTGTATTCCTCGACGAAGTTTCTAACGGCGGGAACAGAGAACAACGATCAATTTAAAAAAATATGTTCGTTTGATATGGCGACCGCCGGTCATAAAATAAAAAACTCGCGAAGAAAACCGAACTTCAACCGGCATCGACGGCAAGAAACCTCGGGATATCATTGGGATAATTCAAATCACAGCCATCGGGCCCCCATCTCGAGGGGTCACTTGCATCATGGGACAGCGCGCATCAACTGAGGAGACGCGCATCCAGGACCGAGCTAGAGGATACATGGGGACGTACGTTGACCTGGGCAAGCACGTCGACCAAGCAAACGAATGGTACGATTGACTGTCGCACGATAGAGTCGTTGAGGTCGACACTGACGACGGGATGTTAGGGCAAAGCTGTGTCCGACCCCCAAGACGTGTCAACTTCGCTTCCGCATCATCCTCAACGAACGCATTGCCACCGAGCTGGTTCCATTCATGTGGAAACTGGACGGAAACGTACGTGGCATTATGAGGAGAAACCAACCAGACGAAGGGGAGGACTCATGTCGTTGGCATGTGTAGGTGATGGTAGAAGTCCGCAAGTTTCGACGGCGACACCCCCCCGACGACTCGGACACGCACATCTCGGTACTACAAGTCCCGCTCCTTGCAATGTGTATAGTGACGCCGCTGTGTCATATTGCAGAGCAACACCATTGGCGCCGCCAAGTGCTTGTCGTTGTATCAGTTTTACTTTATTTATTGCTTCTTGTCGGACGTGAACGACTGTGCCATGCATTCCGTGGCGATGCATCCGTTGTTCAGGTCCATCCGTGTCCCCTATGCCCGCTATCGATACATGATGACTCATGACGCCTGGTAGTGACAAAGCATTCGACGATCGCGAGTGTCAGATCTGCATGGACACGGACAAGGAGGTCGTGTTGCCGTGCTCCCATAGCTTTTGCCTTCTTTGCTTTCAAACCTGGTACATCACAGTCCCCCTCGCCCCATCCCCCACACATCCAATGACGACCGTGCCGTAGGAGCTCGCAAAACCAGACGTGCCCCATCTGCCGCAGTCAACTGCACTGCGCCGAAGGCGAGGAACTGTGGCATCTGTCGTCGTCCAGGGGTATCAGCAACCTTGCGTCGTACGCGCAGGACTTGGTGTCGCGGATCTACGAGTTTCTCGATAAGCAGCCCGTGAGTCGCTTCTCGGACGCGCACGTCCACGCGTCCAACGTCCGCTACACGATGTGGCGCATGCAAACCATCCAAAGCGACCTGGAGCAACCGCAGGACCCATCGCCATGTTCCATCACAACCAGCCACGGACCAGAGAACGATGCATCTCTCCATCCGGATTACATCTTCGCGTTGGCCGTGGCCGGCGGTGACGACCAGGAGCTGGCGCTGGAGGAGTGCCGAAGGCAGGTGCATTTCCCGACGCTTACGTACATGTCGTCGGTGCCGATGCCGTCGCTGGCCGAGTTTGTCTCGTCGAACCATAGTCGTAGCGACGTAGCCTAGTAATTTATGTATGTTCACGTGAATACTAGTATAAATGATAGCACTACTATTAATATTTCCAAATACCCATGCTATAGTAGTACCAGTACTGCAGTTGTTATTGGCAATGTTAGATTTCCAAATGTCCCTTGTGTTTATGTTATAATTCCACACGACGCTGGCCACTAGCGCGGCCCCGATCACCAACGGCCAAGGCCGCATCTCACTCCTTCTTACGCGCTGCGCACCATGCAGTGACCTTTACCTGGGATCGCTCCGGCCAATGCCACTGTCACGTCCCACCCCAGCTGCAACTCGAGTTCCAACGACTTCAGGCGGCCCTCACCACCTCCACGCCACCCACCTGCCGATGCCATTTCTGGCACACATCCCTCTCCAATAACTCTTGGATCCTCGATCACCACGACCGCTATCTGCGCTCACACCCGTACGACGCCTTTCAGGAAGCCCACCTCGGCCTCCGATGGGCCTTCACGCCACGCAGTGGCTGCACCATGGCTACTCCATTCACCAAACTGGACGTGCCATTGCACCGCCCAAGACAACCTGGCCCACCAAGCGTGGAAGCTCATCCACGCCCTCACACTCCCTGTGGAACGACCGCTGCGCAGCGCTACACGACAACACCAGCCGTATCCCGCCGCCTTCATCCTTCCCTTACCTTCACCAAGCGCATTTCCAAGCCTTAACCACCTACCACGCCTAACGCCGGCACTGCCCCCGCGCCGACCTGTATCATGACCTCGTCTTACGGTGCAGTCTCTTATTAGCCCACCCTCCCTCTCCCCCTCGCGGACAGACCCCAATGCGTGAGAAAGGTGTGGTGTCCTTCATCGGAGCTGCCCGCATGGACGAAGGTAGTGGCAGATCCGGAGCTGTCGCAATGCCCCCTGCTGAGCCGCTCCTCTGCGAGTATGCTGCGCACTACTTCCCAGCACCGACTACGAACAACATCGCCGAATACGACGGGTTGATTCGCGGCCTCCAGTTTGCTGCGCACATGGGTTTCACGCACGTCACCATTTTTGGCGACAGTCAGCTCGTTCTACGCCAGATGCAAGGCGTCTACCGCCTTGGGCACCCAAACCTGCGCGAACCCTACCGCTCATCAGCACGTACATGGGCCGCACGATTTCACTGCACATGGGTTCACCGGCAATCAAGCTGCGGACTTCTTATCCAAACGCGCGCCAGACCTCGCATGGGGCTTGTCGACTCTCCTTACTGGACACAACACGCCGCTCCCCCCCCGCGATCTCGCCGCCCTGTACGATTTTCTCGACGGTGACCTCACCTTCAACCCCGGTTGATCCTCACACTTAGAGTGTAGCTTTACCTGTATAAGCTCCTAATACCTCAACAACAAAAAATTCCACATGACCCTTGTGGATGTTATAATTCCAACTTACCCTTGTGTGTGTGTTATAATTCCAAATGACCCTTGAGTGTGTGTTATAATTCCAAATGACCCTTGTATGTGTGTTATAATTCCTGGACTATGTGGCAAGTACTGCATACAGTACCTATTTACTAGTCACCAGTGGTCCAAGACAAAAAGGGCTTGAGTGATCAAGTGGTGGATGTAGGCGGCGCGGTCATGGCTGTCGTACGTTGCGAGGTGCCACAGCTCGTCGTCGGACTTGGCGTTTTGCTGGATTGGAAGGACGCGGCGGCAGGTGGGGCAGGAGTTGTGGCAAGCATGCCTACAGTAGGAACATGATTACACGTGAACATAAGATGATGCGAATGGGGATGGGACAGTACGTACCACGAATGAAAGCATCGTTGGCAGAAGCTATGGGTGCACGGCAATACGATTTCGTTGTCTGCATCCATGCAGATGAGGCATTCCGAGTCGGAAGGGTCGGTTGGTTCATCGACGTGGCTAATGGAACATGAATGCGTGAGCGAAGGCAAGGGGAATTAGCTTCAAGACAAAATTGAGTGATGGGTGTACCTGCCAAGAGACCCGCCCATGGGAGGAGGTGGCGGCGACCGCCGCCGGGATGCGCAGTCATGGATGTCGGAGAAGTAGCAATACATGCGGTAGAACTGGCCGACTGTCAATGTCTGAGGCGCGTTGATGAGGCTCTACAAACCCATCATGATGGTGAAGCACGTGTCCTGGACAGGGGGAGAGCTAGGAATGGTACTTGGTCGTGGCGACGCAATTTTCTCGCTTCAACTTTTACCTACGTATCCCATCAGGTTGCTGTAAGGTGGCAGAACAAGAAATGTTACATACAACGTCTTCCAACGTCCTCGTAAATGGAATGCATGCGCACGCCAATTCGTCTTCGCGGAGTACGAGCATGCGGAATCGCAGTTGCACGGCGGTGGGGACTGGGCACTGCCTCGCCCTACAGTACTCAGCTCCCTCCCATGACAATCTCCATCATAACCATCCTTCCGTACCATTCGTTGGCTTGGCCGACATGCTTCTCAAGATCAACCAAGGATCCCGCAAGCGCTCGTATTCGACCCTGCATGTGTTGGCCGTCGGCACTCGACATGGTTGTGCCCATGTTCTTGCTCAATGATAGAATTCTCCGATCTGATGGAGGCGTTAAATACGAACGTTTTGCGTTAAAGCATTAAAACGCATTGACAGTTACATTTGAAACGGCGGCGGCTTTTTATGTAACGTTGGGCCAGTTGCAGGATGTTTGTGCTGGACGACGAGGAGTCTGATGCAAAGGAGCTGGAGAAGAAGGCGCAAAAGGCAAAGAAGAAGACAAAATTGACACCGGAGGAGGAGGCCCTCGACAAAGTCCGCGCCGATGCCACCGAGAAGAATATGTACTGGGCTCCCATCCTCCTCCTCTTCCCACTCGGTCCGGTGCTTGTGGCGCTCACGACGGTCGTGTTTGGCGGGGTGATCATTAACGCCGCGCCGTCAACATGCAACGCGTATCTCAAAAGTACGCTCACATGTTTCAACTTGACATCATGATGATGCACGGCTTACTACATATTGCTGTAGCGTTCATGCAAGGCGCGGTGGGCCTTAGCTACATCCTCATCTTGTTCTATGCGTACTGCTGGATTGGCCCTCGACCCATCACGAAACTCAAGATCCTGCGGGTGTTCTACACCGTTTACGGCATCGTTTGCTTCCTTTGGTACGGTTGGCCCCCGTTTGGCTTTCACTCCTCGTCGCCGACAACACATTATTGACCCGTGCATCTCTAGGTGGGGAGTGTTTGGGTCTCTCCAAGCCGCGACCGCCACGTCCACGGGTCTCAACTCGTGCTTGCAGACCGCGCCCGCGTTGTTTGTGTTTACGCAGTACCAAGTGACGATCTTTTGGCTGTTGCTTTGCTTCTTCATGTGCTTTGCGTTCAAGGAGATGCGATCGCACTGGACAGCGTCCGAGCATGTGAAAATGGCCAAGCAAAAGGCTGCCGACGAAGCCAGAGCGAAAAAGGACATGGAGGACGCCGCGGCAGCAGAGGTGGCGCGGGTACAGCAAGCCAAGGACGCCGCCGAGAAGCTAGCCAAGGCGGAACGGGACCGATTGTACCAACCGACAAACGATGTTGCCGGAGACATCGACGACGGAGACCATGCTGGGCTTGACGCAGCTGTCGCGGAAGACCCACAAGACGACCCACAAGAAGAAGAAGAGGAGGAGGAGGAGGAGGAGAACGAAGGCGGCGAAGAAGGCGATGCAGATGAACGTGACGACCCAGAAGGAGCAGATTCTAACGAACAGGACAAACAGTGATACATGGCTACGAGTGTCAGTGGCTGTAGTGGCATGGCGTTGCCACTGCCTTGCAAATAATATACTAAGGTTAACGTTACGATTATTGTCGTGAACTTACCCTCCATGCACTCTATATCCTTCAGCGGCGTCATATAAATAATTGCCGTTCACAGTCAGTTAATACTTGTCACCCATGGAACCAAGACGGCCAAGTCTAACAGTAAATAAGCATGTACTTGAAGTAATAACTACTGTAGTAGTAATACTATTACGTATTTCAAAATAATTAGTAACTACTGTACTTCTAATAGTAAAAAAAAGTATTATTTTAAAAAATCCAAGGAGTATTTAAATTCAAATATTCTACTACGTAGTAATACGTTTCGAGTACCCTGTCGCTATCATCTGAAGAATCCTAACTCGAGAAGCTCACGGATGTTACTTGTCCTCGTCTGGCACGACGCGCAACGACGGGATGTCCGAGTTGAGGCCAATGATACTGGACGCGTCTTGGCGCAGGACGGTGCCGCCGAAGCGGCCGTGGATGGCCCATGTGTTCACTTGGACGTACATGGCGTCGTTGAACTTAGGCAGCATCGCCAGCTCCTGGTACACGATCGTGTCGGTTACCCACCGGCCGCCGGTTTCGTTGAGCAGTTGGCGGTCCGCCGAGTAAAGCGATATGTTGCTGCCCGTGCGGCCCATGACAGGTTTGGCCACGTACCCCGACGTGAACGCGCTCACGTCCCTTTCATCGAAGGACGACTTGAGCAGGTACGGACTGTGGGGGTACATCTTCGACAGGATGGGTAGGATAGCTTTGGAGCCGGCTAGAAGAGTCCACAGCGGCTCAAACACTCGGATCGAATCGTGCAGGAGAATGTCCATGAGTTGAGGCTTAGAAGGCAGCTCGAACGAAGGCAACATGGATGCTTCCTCGCGAGCTTCGACCTGGTTCATCACCGTGCGCCAACACCATGTCTTCCACACGTTCTCGATGCGGCGGCCGGCAGAGTCCTCTAGGCCTTGCTTGTCGCCGTCTGTCCATGTGATGCCGTCGATACCCACGACGAGGAAACATGTGATGCCAGCCGCCTCTGCCGCCGCCTGCATGTACGTGGCGTGGTATCGCTCTTCAATGTCTCGGTCGCACATGATGTGAAGTGATCCGACAATGGACAAGTTCTTCCACGTTTGCACGAGTTGCTGGAACAAGGTGGCGCTGCTGCTTCGACCGACGGAGGCCACGCCCGCCGCCGCAGCCCATGCATCCTGGACGTAGCCGCATTCCAGCAAGCAGGATGCGGAATCCGCATTGTACTCGTACACCTTGATGCCCCCAGATGTCAAGGCGAAATCAAATCGACCGGATACCACATCGTGTTTGCTACAGTGGTGTTTTAAACACCATACAAAACACGACAAAAATGTACCTGATCGCCCACGACCGGCGAATCTTGGGCCACAACACGTCGGGGATGTGAAAGAACTTGCCCACTTCTCCTTCGTTGTCCAGGACAAACTCGGTGGCTTTGAAGAACATGTCATGGAGCTCGTCAGTGGCATGTTCCAGGCCTGCATGGCCCGATTCGGTGATCGTGTAGTAGGAAGCCGCGGGGGACGACGGGGAAAACGGAGCTTTCAGTTCGTTGTAGATGGGAACATAAGGCAAGGAATGGTCGAGCCACGTGCTGGCTGGAGGGTCTGACGCGACGTGCACGGAGCGCACAGTGAGATCCGATGTGACGGCGTTGGGAATCACGACGGGTTGCTCGGCAACGGCGACGATCCCCTTGAGGGACGTTGCGCGGGTGGTGAGGTCGATGATGCGCTTGCTCGGTCCCAACCCGCTCACCTTCGTCGACCCTTGGTCCTTCAACACGTTAGTAGCACCCACAAACGTTTTCGCCATCAAGCTGAGAGGACAGATCAATTGATTTAATGAACGATATGATCTTGCGTTGGCCTTGTGGTGGCCAACCTATTTTAAGCTCCCTGTAGGCAGGCAAATGTTCCACCGCAATCTGCAATCAGTTGAACGGTTTCTATTGTTCCTCGTGGCAGGAAGAAGACACTGTTTGCCTGGGCTTTGTGTTCCTGGCCTTGCTTTCAAGCCTAGAAGACGGCTTCACCATGACCTGCATCTCGTGCATGTTCGCGCAAGGTCGATGCCGCCGTTTTGTATTCAAGCGTCAAAGCCAAGGTGGTCGTAGTTTAGGTCAAATGCTAATATTGTTTTATATAGCTCAAATTAAGCAATGATTTTAAAAACATGGATTTGCCATCGAAAGTTTACTTTATCTTTTGTATACACTATGTACTCGATTTTGTGGATATAGCAGGACAGATTGAATCGTAGTTCACGAAATGCCGGATAAAAACAATTATCCGGACACACGGGGTGTTGTGAGCAAGTATACTGGGACGGAGTCAACCGCTTGAGGATTTCGAAGAAACTACTAGTAGTCACGGTCGGCGGGATGACTAGCAATGTGAATGGAGAAACCATTAGCGTCGGCGGCAATATCTTCCGGTAGGACTGCTACATGTCGTTCATGCTCATCTGGGCTTATGATGGCACGTTGTCAGGCTGGTGGAGACTATCGGGCGGGGGTCATATGGCACGGTACACAAGGCCGTCAACTTGAGTTCCGGCGCGGCGGTGGCCGTGAAGGTGATCAGCAAAGATCGTCTTCTGCGCAATCCACAAGAACGAGCGTCCATTGAAAAGGAGATCGAGACCATGCGGGTGGCCGTGGAGCAGTACGAGAACGGCCACCCGAACATCGTGCGATTGCTGGCAACGAAGGAGTCCAAGGCGTCCATCTTCATCGTGTTGGAGTACTGCGCGGGAGGCGACATTTCATACTACATCAAGGCGTCGGCGCGGGGGTTGAGTATGGCCCAGACGCGGAACTACATGTCTCAACTCGCGTCCGGGCTGCAGTTCCTTCGCCAGCAGCATGTGATCCACAGGGATCTCAAGCCTGCCAACCTCCTTCTCAGCAGCAAGAACGTCGCGTCCCAGAAGGTCAAGATCGCCGACTTTGGGTTTGCTCGGGCGCTAGAAAACGAGTGCATGGCCGAAAGCGTCGTGGGGTCCCCGCTGTACATGGCGCCCGAACTGCTCGACTACAAGTCTTACGATGCCAAGGCGGACCTGTGGAGCGTCGGCATCATCTTGTACGAAATGGTGACCAAGAGCCACCCGTTTCTCGTCGTGGTAGGGCTTATTTCACGACTCTATAGTTGGTGTAGTACAAGATAAGTGACCCTATCTACCTGTACAGTATTCGTCAACTGACTTTGAAATGGTCCAGTATCACACTAATTCATGTCACACACTAATTCGTGGTTGATTTGGTCGAAAAGTGGATAATTTGATTGGCTACTTGATTTGTGATCTGGGTTTTGATTGGTCGATATATCGATTGTCTGCCGATTTGGTGAGTCGATTGAGCACCACCCCAAACACTCGAATATATCGACTTGACGATCGATATATATTTGCCGTAATAACATGTCGTGGATATTGAAACACACAATGTATTGAAAAATAATATTTCATTCTACCGTATTTGTCGTTGATCTGTATTATGAATATATAAAACGCGCCTATGATTCTAAATTTTACTATATTGTCAAATCAATGTTCAATTCTTCAAATTGCATGACATATGGCGCACACGGTATGACAAATTCACTAGTTAGCATTGCTTTGAAAGGACATGAATCATTCTGTGCAAATATATAGTACGTTTTCTATATATATATATATATTCATGGTGCACACATCCACGGCCACTACGGTCGTTATCATATCTGTGTGTATTTTTTCGACGGAGGCGACAGTATCTCCATGGATGGAGTCCTTTTGTATGTATATGTGACACTGTTTTTCTATCGCCAACCCGTCCAATGGATTAATATATATATATATATATATTGTTGCCTTAGGACAACGTCCATGCGACCAATCACTTGGCCCTGCGTCGTAATATTGCACGGTATTACGAGAAGTGCCACCGATTTGTCATCCCCCCGGACGTGACAATGAGCGCCGACTGCGCCGATCTCCTGGAAGGACTTCTGCGACGCGATCCACAGCATCGCATATCATTTGACCAGTTTTTCAACGCGCCGTTTCTGCTGCCGCTGCCGCCGCTGCCGGACGACGACCCGCCGCGTCCGCCTCCTCATGGAGACGGGGGGCTGGAGGCGTCGGGGTCCCCCAAGCAGCCTCTTGTAACGCACGACATGACGTGGCACGACTCTGGAGGGAGCGACGAATATGTGCTCGTCGAGCGCGAATATGAAGACATTGGCCGAGAAGTGCTGCAGGATGCCGCCACCGCCGACGACTTGGCGGCATTGCCGAATGAAGAACAAGGCCATGGAGGGGGGGAAGCCAGCGACGAGGTACGCCCTTCGGATGACTTCGTTGTGGACATGATGGGCATGATAGCCGCAGCAGGACGTGGGGGCTGCCGTCGTGACCAAGGAAGACCCCCCCCCGGCTGCAACGACTTATCCCCCACAAGCTACGACATCATGGCAAGATGATGAAAATCGATTGGAGGAGTTGCTTGGTATTTGCTATAAAAGGTATGCACAATGACGAAAAAAGAAAAATATTAGGAGTTTTATAAATGTGATATTGGCTGGATTTTGTGCGTTTCATTATTATTAATGTTGTATATATATATATATATATATATATATATATATT